TGGATAAAGGATGATAAGTCAAACCCTTGAAGATTTGGAGACATTTGGGAAAAATTTAAACTTTGAGCATATGATTTTGGAAAAACACAACATAATTGGTTCCTGTTTGGGCTGAGGTTTGTTTATTCTGCTCATCTAAATTTAGAGGCTCAGAAATTTTAATAGTTTTGTTTAATGGGGATGAATGTTTTCTACTTCCTCCCTACTTGTTCAGTTCAAATACAGACTCTGTATCTGTTGACCCAATCCCTAGAGAAGATTTGCGCTTTAGCTATGGGTTGGCCTAGATAACCTGAGATCTTTTATGTCTAAAAGTCTGATTCTTTCAGATAGTACTAATTATAGGAATTCAGGGCTTCAGTCTTCATTCTGGTCAAATTGCCATTGATTGTCACTGAAATTCCTGGATTTAACACAAAAAGCTACCCAGTCATGGTCAGATATCTTTTCTGTAGTATTATTTGGTATTATATCTTTATTTTAAGAGTATATTTGTGGGGAGAAGGTAATTGGAGAAGGATAGCAATGAACAATACAAAATTCAATTACTGAGCTGTGAAACATAGCCTTTATTCTCACTACTATGAACATATCTAGCCCGTAAATGCTCTGGAAAAATAAAGCCCTGAACCACCTTAATCTAGTAAAAAAAAAAAAAAGCTAAGATATTTTCTATTCGACTCAATAAATGTCTATTACTTTGTTTTTAGAGTAGTATTGCTGTACTTGCCATAATTGTTTCCTGCAGAAATTTGCAATTTGGAGTGGATATGTCGGTTTAATTGTTTGCTATAGAAGTTAAACCATTTTAAAAAAAATTTCAGACTTAGGACAAGACAAAATGCTAAGAAATTTGTCATTCACAATTTAAGATAATCAGTTTAATATCTCTACAAATTACTAAAATTCTTGGCATATTTTCTCTTTCAAAATTATCATTCATTCATTTTTAGCATTCATTTAAAAATTGAGTTCCAAATTCTTTCTCCTTCCAGTCCCTCCCCCACTCATTGAGAAGGCAAGCAATATATTAATTATACATATGAAGTCATGCAAAACACGTTTCTATACTAGCCATGTTGCAAAAAAAAAGAAGCAAGAAAAATAAGGTTAAAAAGTATGCTTCAATATGCACTAAGAGTTCATCAGTTCTCTCTCTGGAGGTGGATAGCATTTTTCATCATGGGTCCTTTGGAATTATCTTGGGTCATTGTATTGAGCAGAGTAGCTAAGTCTTTCACATTGACCATTGCTTCAATTACTGTTACTGTGTGCAATATTCTCCTGGTTCTGTTCCCTTTACTTTGCACCAGTTCATATATGTCTTTCCAGGTATTTCTGAACTCATCCTACTCATCTTGCCATATTTTCTTAACCATTGTCCTCATCTTCCATCTCCAATCCATGCTATATTCTATTCTCAAACTAAAATTTCCTAAAATACTGTTTTGCTGCCCTTACTTCCCCCATCCTTTAGATTTCACATTGCCAATAGGATAAATGAAGTCCAAAATCCTTAATCTAACAGGCTTTCTCCCATTACTGTCCAGCCAGTTTGTTGTTCCTTGAACAAGTTATGAACATCCTTACTTCTGTGCCTTTTTACATCTGTGTCTCTTTTGTTTCCCTTGCCTAGAATGCTATTTCAGTTCTCCTTTGGTTACCTACATTTTATATACATACTCATTATTGGACATCAGACGATCAGAGGATTTTTAACTGGAAAGGATCTTAAAAGTAATTTTGTTCTACCCTCTCATTTTACAGAAAAGAAACCTGAGAGCAAGAGAAGCTAAATAACTTGCCCAAGGTTATAGAGGTAGCAAGTTGAAGAGCTGTAATGGAACTTATTCTCTCTCACTCCAAAAACAGTGCTCTTTCCACTATTCTAGATATTCAAGCAGAAGCTTATTAGTGATGTTGCAAAAAGGAATGAAACTGGGTCATTTTTGTCTTTGTACTTCCAATGCTAAGATTAGTGCTTCTCACTTATCAGGCCCTTAATAAATGTTTGTATTGAATTGACTTGAACTTAGATGGCCACTGAGGTCCCTTCTGCTGCTAAACACTATGTATGATTTCTTACACTGGACCATGGACAGCAAAGTTCATCTTCTCTAATCCAGCAAATAAAGACAGCTCTAGCATGTGAGGGGTAAAGGTAGCAAGATCAGCAACAGCACATGAAGCAATGGGGTTGAGGAAAGATCAGTTTCTGGGACCTGGAGGTTTCCCCATTGCATGTTCATTCATATTCATATTAGTACATTCTATAATAGTTAACCTTTCTGCATCTGCTTCTCTGTCAATAACACAACACCTTACACATTGGGGATTTCACAGGATGATTCAGAGAACAAAAAGGTAAGGTTCATAAACTGCTTAGGGATACTGAGGTGAAAACTACTCTCAACAAGCACAAAGCAGAATTGTTATTTTACATGCTTTAATCTTATCCATCTTTATCTCATTTTTTTCTTTTTCTGACTCAGAAAAGATTTAGATCATTTAAAATACCGTAGAATCCTTCTTGAGAAATGACTATGAGTGAATGCAAAATTGGAAGTACAGACACAGTACCAATTTGTGAAGTGACAAAAATATAAAAAAGTAAAAAAAAAAATAAAAGAAACCAAGCCAAATGTGAAAGAACAGGACACCAAAGGACCCAATCATTCATGACAGACACCTGGAATTACCATAAATATTATTTTAATAGATAAGTTTCTATAATAATTTGCTATCAGGTTAAGCCAAAATGCTCAGTTGGGCAAAGTTTTCATTCTGGTCTCAGAAATGTCAGGTCCTGAAGGCAAATCTCAATGGTCCTACCAGAATTTTAATACCTTGTGGTAGACAGAGTCTTGGGATCCTTTCAAGGTAAATCTTGAGAAAGTGCTATATGTTATTGAGGTGGAAGAAGTCTTAGAATAGAAAACTAATGTGGAAAAAGGAGGGAAACATGTGGATTACCAAAAAAAGTATGTTTAATTTAGACTGTTTTGAGCTGAAATAGATGTCATGAGGGAAAACAGACTATCAGGAAAAAAATGAGATACATTGAAATAGTTGTTATCTACATTCTCAAATTTCTGGTGCCCAATTAATATGGTAGAGGATAACTGTTGTTGGAAGGGGGAGTAAAGGCTTAATTTGTTTAGTTAATTGACTTTCACATTTGTTATTTCTGCATCCCCTCTCCTTGACTATACTTTTCTCACAATTAAGCATGCCCAGTCTTTTCCTTATTGCTTCTGCTTCTATCCTACTCTTTCAAAAATGAGACTAAAAATATTTCTCATTTACTCATTCCTGTGCCTTTAATTTTCTTTAACTAACCTGTAGGAGCAGCATTCCCACATCTTCCTAGTCCTTAGCTCCCCCACTGCAACATTCTTTATATATGTATGGTAAACAAACCCATGTATTTACTATGCTTAAGATAAACAAGCGAGAATGTTGCTTTAAAGTAGAAAGATAAAGTGTGCACATTATTCAGCAGGTACATTGCCCATGAAATCTAGATTAGGAGGAATGAAATAATAAATATATATTTTCCCTCAACTCCCATTACCCTAAGACTGCAGAAATAAATGACATGTATTATTTGGGATCTGGATAAAATTGATATTCTTGATCCCTCAAAATTGTGTCTAAAATATCAGTTTGGACAAATGTATGTAAAACACTTTGAAAAGTTTAATGCACTATATAAATGTCAGCTATTATTACTATGATACTTATCAACATCAATAAGGAGATGATCAGGACACCTAACCAGTTTTTTTTTTTCCTCATAAAGATATGATCTATTTTCAGTCTGAGAATACTTTTGATGCAAGTGCATACGTATCTTTTCCTGCTTTTCAAGATGGGGGGTTTTACAATACAGAATTTCACTCATTTCAAAGATTGAAGTTTGGGTTGGTCCAATGTCTTTTTTTCCTCCTAATTTCCAGATTGAGCACCATATAGGAAACCGGTTGCCCACCTATGTCCTTAAAACTTAGTATTTTCACCACAGGAGTTGTATAAAGCCGGAAATAAGCAAAGTGTCCAATAGGCAAATTCTGCCCAGCTTCTTGCCGCTGTCCGAAGGAAAGTGGTGCTGGAGTTTCTAGCAAAGGAACCTACAACTCCTGACATTTTAGGATAGGGAGCCGAAAACAAGCGAGTAGGGACAACTGGGTGATGAGAGAGGACAGGAGGGGCTGGGGAAAATTAAACACCTCACGGGCTCCCTCTGCCGAGAGGAAAAAGTGACTATCCCAACGGAGCAGCATCCCCACATCTCCCTGGTCTGTCGCTGCCCTAATTGCTGCTCTCTTGTTTTCCTTCTCTCTTGGCCCCTTCCACTCGAAGAAAGACTAGCAGCTCCGCGGGTGAGGAGGGATCCTACCTGACTTGCTCCTTGAGGGTGAAGGAAAACCTGAAGCTCACCTGTGCCATTTTCCCAAACCCGCTGCTCAAACGAAAAAGTGGGGGTAGGGGTAGGTGGGCGGGAGACTTGGGGAAGGAGAGTCAAAGTAAAATAGATCCATATGATTATGTTCTCGCTTCAACTGGCTGGACCCCACTACCGAACGGGAACGGGAGAGAGAGCCTATCTGCTGACGCTTTGAGTAGTGTGAAAGCACTTTGGAGTCGCTGCGTGAGGAGGTGGAGGAGGAAGAAGAGGCAGCGGAGGCGGCAGCAACAGCAGCAGTAGCAGCAGCTGAGTGAGGGTGCGCGCACTCTGGGCTAGAGTGAGCGAACGGCGGGGCTGGGGCTGGGTGAGGGTTTACTCGCCGTTCGCCCGCGGAAACAGCAGCAGCCACGCTCAACCTCCCTGCCCCTCCAACAACAGCACCGCCTCTCCCCTGCAGCGTCAGCCCGGGGACTCCCTCTTTCTCCTCCTTCTCTCCTCGCCTGGCCAGACCTGGGGCAGCGCAGAATGCGCCCAGCTGCTGCGTTCTGATCGCCCTCCCACAGCCGCCGTCGCCGCCACCGCCGCCACCGCGATGATCTCCCCCGAACAGCAGCAGCAACAGCAGCAGCTGCAGCAGCAACAGCAGCCCAATCATGTCGTGGCCACCATCGAGAACCTGCCGGCCGAGAGCAGCGGCAGCAGCGGTGGGAGTCTCTCTGCCTCGTCCGCCTCCAGCGTGCGCCAGAGGATCAGGAAAATGCTGAACAGGTGAGCGGAGCTGCGAGGGGAGAGAGGGCTAGCCTACTGATCGGGAGGGGCGTGGACTGTTGGGACCCCAGCTGCCGGCAGAAGCCAGAGGGGGCTTCCCTTGCTCCAGGGATTGCACTTGGGCCCCCTTGGGACTGGGCTTTGGGCCCGGGGACTAGGGAGAGGGGGGAGTGGTTCTGCCTGCAGCACTACTAAAGGAAGCGCACCCCATTGGCGGCAGTGTTGTCCCAGAGAGAGGAACTGGGGCCCCGCTCTGGGTGGCTAGTAGGGGAGGTAGTTTGGGAATGATATTGTGCCCTGGGGATATGCTCTTTCTCTGTGTGTGTGTGTGTGTGTGTGTGTGTGTGTGTGTGTGTGTGTGTGCGCGCACATACGCATATCTTGGTGGAGAGGAGGAGGGGAATGCCCCCTTCTATTTTCATAAGTCCTCGGGTAGCTCATTACCAAGCCCTGTGCACTAAGGAGCCCTTGAGGGAGCAGAGGGGAGCCAGGATCCTTTCTTGTTGGGGTGGTCATATAGAAATAGGAGGCTTGGGTGCAGCCGCGTCCCACTTCAGGCGAGCTGAGCCCCTCATTGTGCAAGCTACAGGAAGGCGGGGGATGGTGTCGCTGCTGCTGTCCAGGCAAAGAAAAGGAGGCAGGGCAGGGCTTTTCTTTGCTTGTTTGTCGTGCCGACACACTGAGCCCTTTCTGGGGTATAAAGACGGAAGGAAAGAGGCAGGAGGCCTGGAGAAAACCCAGGCAAAGTACGAAAATGGAACGTTGAGGAGTTGAGGGACGGCGTGGGGAGGTGAAGGTTGGTCACTGGTCCTGTCCAACAGACCTGCCGGTTCAAGAAAGAATGGAAGCGAAACACGGACCATGCTCTGTGGTCATTATTAGCATGGGGCATTCGTGATTCTTTAGCTCTGCCTTCGATTGGGAAAGGATTAGTCTTTAACTGGCTTGAGGTGAATGAATTGTTGCTTCTAAGCATTTACATGGACAAAGAACGTTATCTACGTGCTTTTGTGTGCCTCTGTATTGGTGTGCGTTTCTCTGACTTTGTAAGGATAACTCTGGAGAGAACCTTGGTCTCTTGCTCTGTTCATACAGGTTTCTCTGTGGTTTTAAATCTGAGTGAAAATGCATTTCGAAGGAGTTCATATCACTTTAACTGACTGGAGCTAGAAGTGGGAGTACACAATGTATACCGAAATAGAGCTGTAAAATCAGCTCAGCTGGGGCTCCATCTATTCATTATCTCATTACTTCACTGTGTGGTTTAGGTATATAAACCCAAACAAACAAACAAAAGAGCCCAGTCTCATGACTGGAAAAAAGATGTTAGACCTCTTTGTGGGAACTTAAGTTTCTAGTATCAAACAGGAAGAAATGCACTGAAATTGACATGGATTTGGTGATGGAACCTCAAGCTTTTCTTTTGCAGAGCTTGTGGCAGAGGATGGCACTTCCAAAAATAGAAAAAAAAAACAAGTCAAGGGGATGTTCCCTGTTTTGCATTCTATGCAAATTTTCTGGTTTCCTAAATGAGAAATCTACAATGAGTTTTTAAAAAAAGAAAAAAGGTAACTGCATTATTCATCAAATTTACATTATTTCCATTAATTTGAGACTATGAGTTAAAAAACAACATTGTGATGAGAAAATGATTTTCTCAGGCCAAGAAACTCTCCTACTTTGATAAGCTTTTTGTTAGCCCTGAAGGGAAGCTGATGTAAGCATGAATAGGCTTTTCCCCCCCAACTGGTGATAAGTACATAGGTTCATTTTCCTTTGTTTAACCTCGGGATTTTAGAAATTCCATTTTAGTGCATCACATATGTTGTGCCTTAATGGAGGTAGTTCAGTTTAGTGGAAAGCCTAATGGGGTCAGGAGGTCTGGATTCTAATTGACTCTGTGACTAAGTTCCCTTGTAGCTCTGGGTGAGGCATTTCATCTCCCAGTTTTTTCATCTGTAAAATGGGGATAATAGTCCTTGCCCAAGTCACTCATGCAGTGGTTATGAATAACCAAAGAAAATTATATATGTGAAAGTACCATGAATAGCATGTCATTATTCAAATGTAAAATAGAATTTTTGTTTGGTTTTTGATAATGGCAGAACATATTTGTTCATCAATCTGTCTGGCTTTCTATTGATGAATAGTAGTATTTCTGTTTTTACAGAAGAGGAAACCAAAGTCAAAAGGTTAAATAAATGACATTTAATCACAAATGCATTTATAAATGGGACTTATCAGGCCATGCTTTTAACACTTAAACTAAGATCACTTAACTCTAATACCCAGAAAACTTCAACTGAGAAATTCATTGGAGCTATATTATTTCTGTTGGCAGAATGCTACCATTGTCTTCAGCTAATGAAGTTTCCTTTTCCCTCAAGGACAAGTGTAAAATACATTTCTTCTGGGAAAGAACATCTTTGGCTGGAGTTTAGAAATATCAGAACAAACAGAAGCTTATTCCTGATGGAATACTTTATTTAGCATGATTTGTTTTTGGTTGACTTTGCCTGGAAGTGAAAAGCCAATACGGCCGGAACATCAGGAGTGACTGCTAAGTGACTCAGGTTCAAAACAGAATGCTGAGTGTTGGTTGAGAGTGGAACTTCAATCTACATCTTTGAAGGAGGGAAATAAGCATTTATTAAGCATCTACTGTGTGCTAGGCATAGTGCTAATGCTTTACAAACATTATCTCATTTGATCCTCATAATAACCCTGGGAGATAGATGCTATTATTATTCTCATTTCACAGATGACAAAACTGAGGCATGCAGATAGGGTAAGTCACTTGTCCAGGGCTACACAATTAGTCATTTTCTGAGGTTGGATTTAAACTCAGATCTTCCTGACTTCTAGAACCCAACCCACTGTGCCACTTAGCTAGCTACCTCTTTGGCCTGTTTTCTCTTTTGTGCTTTAACCCCCACATAATTATCCTTTGTTGTTAAATCCTCAGGCCAGGTCTTGGTCCCTAGCAGAAATTAGAGGTAAATGCAAATGGTGTTTCTCCAGTTCCATATCATGCAAAAGTAGGTATAACAGGTTTGCCAAGAGTAAGTGTAGAGAATATTTACTGGTGAGTAGACGTGGCACTCTAACCTTGGTCAGCTGTCTTTTCTATTGTCTTGCTGGGCCAAGGAAAGGATGACTAAGACAATTCAGATGATGTAGTTTGAGCAATTACATTATAATAATATTAGTACGTCAAGCACAACTCCTTTTCCTGGCAGTTTATCTCAGACTAAATAATGGAAAAGTAACCTTTTCACTCAAAAGGGGGCAACATGCAGTATAACACATTAATAGAGTGATTTAAGATTTCCAAAGTACTTTGTAACAGTGCTGTGGGAAAAAGTAGTATGAATATTGTTATCCCCATTTTACAGATGAAAAATTTGCAGCTTAAAAAGATTAAATAATGACTCTGAGGTCAAAAATCCAACTCTTGTTGAACCTGAAATTTGAACCCAGTTTTCCAAACTTTATGTCCAGCATTCTTTTCAGTGTACTAAATTACCCATGGCCTACGTGTAGAATAGATTTTCCAAAAAGAAATGGGTTTTAAAAAATAATTATTTCTTTTTTTTTTTACATGTCATTGTTTTTATCCTCCTCCCCAAACCATTTTATTGTAATAAAGAAAAACAATTAAACAAAGTGATGGATACTGTAACTGCATCTGACAAGGTATACTCCATTCAACATTTGTAATCCCTACTACAAGGAGGAAAGTGTGTTTCCAGATTTGTTATTCAGAACCAAGATTGTTCATTAAAATCCTTCAGGGTTTTACTGCTTTAGTGTTCTTTTCTTTTACTTTATTGTAGTCATAGTGCATATTATTCTCTTGGTTTTGTTTACTTCCCTCTGAATCAGTTCATGCAAGTCTTCCCTCATTTTTTTGAATCCCCTGTGTTGTTTCTTATAAGTTCGATAATCTTCCATTACTTGCATATATCATGATTTGTTCAGCCACTCTGCAAGTGATGGGCACCAATTTTGAGAATAATTATAATAACTAACATTTTTATATTGCTTTAAGATTTGCAAAGTGCTTTACAAATATTATTTTCACAACAACCCTGGGAAGGAGGTGCTATTATTTCTCCTTTAACAGATTAAGTAACTGAGGCAGGTAGAATGACTTGCCCAGAATCATATAACTATGCTGGATCTGATCTCAAATTTCCCTGGCTCTAGGTCCAGCATTGTATCTGCTTCAACACTGAGCAGCCTGGCATTATTTAACGACATGCAAACTTGAATGAGTTAAATTTTAATATGGTTGCCTTTTGTTTTATTTAAATAACACAAAAACATATATTTGCTCTTCATTTTTGAGTAATATATAGATAAGCTGTTGTATTTTATAGACTATGAGGGGGAATTTTCACTGGTTAATGAAGATATTTGTTATCTTTTAGGAACAATGTGGACATAACAGCATATAAGGCCTCAATGCTGAAAGGTTACCAGATAACCTTCTTTTTATAGAAGCTAAAGAGGCCTTTCTCATTACTATTCAAAACAAAGGTATCAGCTTCTGCCCTAGGGTCATCCCTTCTTTATTTTCTGAAGATTGGGAATGACATCCAGGTGAGGAAAAATAAAGTATGACCAGCTCTTCTTTCTGTCTTTCTATAGGCACCATATTTAGTGCATGTAACCTTTCCGCTATACTCAAGACAATGATAAAGCTTCACAATATGTCCATCTTATAAACAAATATATTACATGATTTACTTGAGATAATAATATTAACCAATATTTGTTGAGGTAATTTAAAGTTTCGTTATTTCATCTGAGCCTCACAACGCTTTTTTGAGGTAGGTACTATAGGTTAATTGTTCCTATTTTACATGGAATATAAAACTGAGAAAACTGATTAGGTGAGAAAACTGATCCTCAAAGAGGTTGTATGACTAACTCACACTCACAAGCTAATAAGTATGAGAGATAGATTCGAACCCAGGTGTTAATGAACTACAAAG